ACATTTTATCATATATTGCATCAAATGTAATTTCACAAGAGATGAACTCCTGCTTGCAACATCAACATGTGGAATTGAACCTGGGACCTCTGGCACTACGGAGTTATTTGAAAATAACAAGTGGAGCATCCACACTACCAAAACTGCTACGTTAGAGTAAGGGGCTTGTTATTTCAAGATAACTCCTGCTTTATGCAAGGAATAAGGCTTATTTTGAAATAGTTTTTTCAAAATAATTTTAGTGTGGATGCTCCACGGTTGCCATTTCAAAATAACTACTCCCCAGAGTCATTCAAAGTAATAACTCCCCAGTGATTCCTGGGGTTCTAAGTCGAGGTAGTGCATCCACAATAAGGGAGCCTATTTGGACTAATTTCAAGGCTTTCCTGTAGTGTGGACACACTATTTTGAAATAGTTATTTCGGGAGTTATTATTTTGAAATAAGATATTTTGAAATGTTTTTCTAGTGTAGACATGCCCCTGGAGCTTAGTGCATCAGCCTCTACTGCATGAGCTGAAACCTAGCTGGCTGGTAGCTAAAGCTAGAAAGCAATCCCATTATTCTCTCTGCAAGTTGTCTCCGTACCACAAGATGGAAAGTACATGACACTCAGAAGGTATATGTGGGTTACATAATATAATACTGACAAAGGCATCAGATGTTTTTCACTGCATGGCAAAATGCTAGTTTTTGCAGGATGCCACTGAAAGGGCTTGCTGCATATTTATTAAAGATGTTATTTGTAAGTCTTTCCATTTACCCTTTTGGGGAAAGCTTATATTTATACATTTGCACATTAGAAAACATCTCTCCAAGATAAAGAAAAGTGAAATATATGGCTTGTGTAGATTATGCTGACAGAAAGTATTCTGGTTTTGTAACCAGGAATGCTACTTCCCACCCTGTTTCACTTCCATCTCCCACATACTCCCATGTTTAAGTATTTAGTTCTATTCTCTATATCTGCTGAGAGACAGTATATAATATTTATTCTTCCGGCAATTATAATATCTGGCAAAGGAAGGAGTGTGGCCAAGGATATGTGATAAAATATTTGAATACACTCTCTGCTATAGTATTATATTAAGAATCTGATCTTGAAAGGGTGCTGAATGCAACCACCTTTCAGTGAAGGCCAACTGTCCATGTCTGCACCATGTATGAATGGAATTAGATGGAGGAGAGAAACAACAACAAAAATTCCTCTTATGATGAAATAATGGCGTTTTTCTAGCAGGTTGATTTATTATTGTTTTTAATTACAACAATTTGAAGCTGCAGATTGATAGTTTAGAGTTCAGAATTCAGGTGTGGCAGTTAAAGGTCCCTAATATAACAATTCCGTTTATTCAGCCACATATATACAGTACATATCTCCTGTGCAATCTCTCTTGTCTCAATCCTTCAAAGTGCATTAGGAGTTATCTTGTTTATTGATTGTAATTACCGCTAGTGATGAAGTTGTAGGTGTGTTGAATGTTCACTTTGACATGGTCAAGTATTCAATTGAAAAGGGTCAAGAATTCTCATTATCATGTCTAGCATTTGTGTTTTTGTAAAAGACTTTGGTCAATTGATTGAAAAATGATCAATAAAGGCTGGTGGGAATGAAAGAGTTTTTCAAGGAAGGAACTAAATTGTATAGAATTGCTTTTTATAAGGTCTATCACATAGTAATAGCATAAGCCTCTTTTGTGTCAAGAGCTCACCAGGAAATGGAAATCCCATTATGTAACTAAGAAAGAGACATAGCAAATGTAAATTTTTATTGTGCAGTATGTGACAAGATGATTTTTTTTTATTTTTCAGTGCGTACCTTTTTGTATATCTCAAGCCTCTTTACATATTCTTAGAAGATATAAATTAAAAGAATGAGAAATGTTGAATACAACAAATGTATGCATCTGCCCGGTGGGATTTGGGAGGCCTCAGAGCTGCTTTGCAGTAGGTCCAGGTGCTTGACAGCTGAGCTTCCCATCAGTTGAGGCAGGAGCGGGTTTACCACTGGGCAGGAGTGCCGGAAGACAGCAGGGCTGTCACCGGAGGGGTTCAAGTTTAGCAATGGGGCTGTCATCAGACAGTGCAACTGAAATCCAGCTATGAAGCGGCCACCCAGCTACTCAACTGCCCAGGGGTACGAGGGCTGCCCTGTGGAGCCAGAAGCCCTGCACATGGAGCGACCTGTGGTGAGGGAGGGGGCAGGATGGCTGGGAGGCTGTCTTCCAGACCATGGTGAAGAAGAGCCAAAAGTGAGATGGGGGAGAAGCAGTTGAACTGACCTCCCATGGTCCAGCAAAATTCATCATCCAGGACCAGTGAGGTCCAGAGGGTGCTGGACTAGGAAGGTCCAACTTGTATAATAACATTATTGAGAAACTATTTTGGAGCAAAAGAAAGCTGTTCTTTTCCCAGACACTGCAAGAGAAAAGACAAGATAATGAGCTTATAGTTTACTAGGCCACAAATGTATTAATACAGCTGGGAAACATCTGGTAATAATTAATCTCAGGTCATCTTCTTTCTATAATACATATCACTTCAAACATCCCATTACCCATCCTTCCTTTCTAGCCATCCATACATACACCACGGCTACATCTACATTGCACTCTCTTGCGAAAGTACATATGCGAATGAGGCGTGGTGATGAATATTGACACGCCTCGTTTGAACACTTAATGAGCCTCCATTTTTGCGCAAGGGGCATTCTGCTGCTTATTTTCAGGAAGAACGGCTCTTGTGCAAAAGGGTTTTTTTGCACAAAAAAGAGCTGTGTAAACAGCTCCTTTTTGCTCAAAAGCCCCTTGCACAAAATGGCAGCTCATTAAGTATGCAAATGAGATGTGGCGATATTCACCGCTTCACCTCATTTGCATATTTTCTTGTGCAAGAGAGGGCATTGTAGCTATAGCCACAGTGTTTCCTTTAAGATTTTCCATCTTTAGGTGGGCTGAATTATCTTTTTGGAGGTTGAAATTTCTTATGTGCAATACTAATCTTGAGGTAGTGTGTGGATTTGCACCCACCAGTACAAACAAAAACCATAGATATGAATATATACATTTAAATAGCCCATAGGCGTAGAAGAAAATATATTAAAACAAGGGATAATTAACAAGAAGTAATGCTTATGATTATTTAATATAAAATCAAATAAAAACAAAATTAACCCTACCCTTCGCTTGGTGTACCTACAAATGCTCAAGATACTAATGCTCAAGATACTATTTATATATTTTTCTTTGTTTAAGGCATTACAGGACCATTTTTTTTTTCGTTACAGACTAACACAGCTACTCCTCTGAGATCTTAGAGTACATATATCATCATCCTTTCTAACAGACCAAGGCACGTTTCAGAGATCTTGCAAATAAGGTTTCATGCTACAAAACAGCTAGCATCATACCTAGTATTTGTTACTAATGCAATACAATTTACCATGAATTAATTAGTAACACAGGATTTTTAAAAATCATTAAGATTAGATATTGGCAACACTCAAAAAAATTCTGTTAAAAGAATCTTTTTCTTTCTTACCTTAAGCTATTAATACTTATGTAAACTTTGTTCGAAATGTAATCATGAAAATGTGGCATACATACACACACACACACAACAGGGAAGTGTAACACAGGGGAACCCAGCTCAGCCAGTTTCCCAAAGAGAGGACTGGGGAAAAGCAGGAAGTGGGGAGGCTGCTGATCTGTTAGCAGTTCACAGGGCAGGGGAAGATTTGGGGAAGAGGCAAAGAAGTTGACCCTATCTGTCAGTGTCTGTAATTTACCCAGCTTTTTTCCAAATGGCCGGTAGTAGGCAATGAAGCACAGATCTCTCTTACCCTTCAGCTGGCATCTTCAGTTGGATCTGGGTCACATGATCTTCCAAGTACTTCCTGCCTCCCTGATTGTAGAATGGGCTCATACCATTGAGTACAGACCCTCATGAGGGGGGAGAAAAGGGGAGAAGGGAGGATCAGAGTAAATGCTGGAGCCAGAATAGCAAGCAGCTGCTGCTGCTTCTGCTACTCCACCGCAAGGGAGCAAATACCTTGCACCCTTTTCCCCAGCTGATCAACTGCACTCCCTGCCTGTGCAAGGAGCTCTAAATCTCTGTGCAGGGCTCAGAAAAGGGCAGTGTGGCCACACAGTTTACAGGGAACCTTGATACTAACCTTGTCAATCCTGCCTAAAAGCCTTAATGGACCTCTTCTCATGAATTTGTCTAGTCCTTTTTTGACCTTGTTATAGCTTTGGCATTCACAACATCCTCCGGCGAAGAGTTCCACAGTTTGACTGTTCATTGTCTGAAGAAATCCTTCCTCTTATTTATTTTAAATCTGCTGCATGTTAATTATATTTGGTGATTCCTAGTTCTTGTGGTATGAGGACTAAATAACACTTCCTTATTTATTTTCTCCACAGTAGTCATAATTTTATAGACCTCTATTATATCCTCCAATAACTGTCCTTTTTGGGGTGAAAAGTCCCAATCTTATTAATCTTGCCTCAGATGGGAGCTATTCCATGTCGATAGTTATTTTATTGTCCTTTTCTGAACTTTTTCCAATTCCAACACATCTTTCTTGAGATATTGCTGTAAACTGTTTTCTTTCAAAATACACTTACAGTACTTATGTATAGCATCATATTATATAGTTTAATTGATGGATTTAGATTAGAATTTATATAAAATACATTTAGTTGAACAGAGCAGTAATTGAATCATGTAATGTCTCTCTTGAGTCTTTTTATTCTGCTTTGCTTTAAGAGCAGCTGACTTTGAAAAACATTCTGTGCACAAGCCATTCTCTTTATATATTATTTATTTTTTCTATATTTCTATTCCACTGTTCTTGATTACTAAGAACATTTACATGAAAACTGAATCTTTGTTTCTCAAGAGTCCATCTGCTGCTACTGCCTATTCTCAGCCTAAAGTAATAATCTGATGTTTATGACATCATCATAATTTTCAGAGTAACCAAATGAACAGACATAAATCAGATTCTGTCTTCAGATGTGGTAAAAGCAGCAGAAGTCAATGGATGTCCAACAACTAATCCCATTTTTATATAAATAGCTGGGAAAGAGGAAAGAAGAATCAGAATATATTTAAGAAGGTATCCACATAAATTCACTTATAGGCTATAGCTACAGTAGGGTGTTGGGAGAGATGTGATTTTGGTGCTCTTGTACACATACTCACACTAATTTTCATTGAACTAGCACAGGTGTAGATAGCTGTGGCAGCATGAATAGTGATAGAGAAGGCACACTTGAGCTGCTTTAAGTGCAACTATTCTAGTTTGAGGAACCCCTGGTATTATTTGTGTGCCCCCTGCTCCACTGTTCTGCATACTCATGCATGTGAGGTGAGCAATGGACTTTTTCATGAAACATACTGAGAGTTTGATGTTTTTACCATTTTAAAATGGAACAAAAGCAAAAAATAGTAAATTGCATACAAAGTAAAATCTAAAAAAAAATATTTTGAGTCATTGGAATGTTTTTTTTCTCAATAGAATCTAACATTTTGTTTGAATTTAGACTTGTAGAAGTTATAATTGTGGCAGATAGGGCAACTTTTTACGTTATTTTATGGGTGCGGGATTGTATGTACTCCATGGAGAGAAAGTTCATCCATTAAGTGAAAAAATTGGAGATGATTAAGGCAAATTAATTACTAATCACCTCCTGGGGAGGATTGCATTTTCAGATTAAATTGAGTTCTACAGAGACCAACAGACAAAAAAAAAGTTGTTTTAGAGCTTAAACTGAATTTAAAGAGAATTATGAATATGTGAACTTGCAACCATAGGGGGGGAAATGCTGTTATGGGGTTTGAAATACACATTGAACCTCCTAAATCCAAGACGCCCATTTCCAGCGAAATCTGTGGTCCAAGAGAATTACGGATGTTACTGGGCCAGAGAGCCCCAGTGCCAGGGTGTGTGAGCTGGTTGGGAGTCCACCATCGGGACTGAGCAGCACCCTGGCAGCATCAGGGCTGCCCTGATCTGGCATGGCAGCAGTGGGGCAGCCACAGAGCCCCAACCCAGCACAGCAGCAACGGAGGAGCTGCAGAGCCCTGTCCCCGACAGAAGCAGGGTAGTGGCAGCTGGGGGTCTCTGTCACCTGAAAGCCCCAGCCAGCTGGCAGAAGTGAGCCGGAGCATCACAGATGGAGCGGAGCCAGCTGGAAGGAGGGGCAGTGTCCTCTGAACAAATTCCTATTTGGGACAGGTTAGGTCCGCAAGATGCCAGATGAAGGAGGTCCAACCTTTACTGACACCTGCTAGAGCTCTATGTTGAATTGTAAGTGACTTCCAGTAACTTTTTTCAGTGTGTACATAGATTCTTTTTATTGTTTTATATGCACTTTATGTAAATCTTTTATCTTAAGGATAAATGTACTTGCTTAGAAAAAACTGTGAGATAATTTACAGTCTGGCAACACATTCTTCATAGCACTCAGAGGGTATGTCTACACTACAAAGTTAGTTCTAACGAACGGACGTTAGTTCGAACTAACTTTCATAGGCGCTACACTAGCACTCCGCTAGTTCGAATTTAATTCGAACTAACGGAGCGCTTAGGTCGAACTAGTAAAATCTCATTTTACGAGGATTAAGCCTAGTTCGAACAAGCTAGTTCGAATTAAGGGATGTGTAGCCCCTTAATTCGAACTAGAGGGAGGCTAGCCCTCCCCAGGTTTCCCTGGTGGCCACTCTGGCAACACCAGGGAAACTCTTCTGCCCCCCTCCCGGCCCCGGACCGCTTAAAGGGGCACGGGCTGGTTACGGTGCCCGTGCCAGGTGCAAGCCTGCCAGCACCCAGCCAGCAGACCCTGCACCTGGTACGGATC